GGATGCTCCCAATGCAGAAGAGGGGATGCTCCCAATGCAGAAGAGGGGATGCTCCCAATGCAGAAGAGGGGATGCTCCCAATGCAGAAGAGGGGGTGCTCCCAATGCAGAATGCAGCAGAGGGGATGCTCCCACGGAAGCTAACGGGAATTCCCCAAGGGATTCCCCTTTTGAATTACACCTGAAGCCTAATGAAAGGGGTCTGTGTTTGCCCCCAAAATGTGTTGGAACTTTGATGCTTTGTTACCAATAAAAACTTCTTTGGACTCTTTATTTGGTGGTGCCTCGTTTTATATTTTCTTCTAATAAACTTCTCCAAGGCTCCCTTCTGCCTCCTGTGGGGTCCCTGTAGGTGGACGTTAAGCCACTACCAAGCAATCATGCCCAACACAAGAAACCTATTGCATACTACTTTCCTGGCCATCATGCTGATCCTTTGACTTCATTACTATCTGAGTCACTGACCTTCAACAAGTATGGTGAAATAAGAACAAAGGTACAATTGCTGTTCCTGCTCAGTGACTCAGAATTGACAAAAGTTATGAGTCAGTCACTAGGTCCGCAAAGTACTGGTTCCCTTAGGAAGCTCAGTCCTCCCCAGGCTGAAATAGAAGTGAGAGTATGATAGAAGAGGTTGTGGGAGGACTAGTCCCTGCTCCCATTTCTGGGACCAAAAGAGGCCCAGCAGCATCTCTCCTGTCTCTTTAGCACTACAAGGACCAGCAGCATCCTTCCTGTCTCCGTAGTATTGCAAGTCCAATCAACACCGCCCTTGGAATCGGTAGCACTACAAGTTCCAGCAACATGTCTCGTGTCTCTATAGCACTACAAGTCCCAGCAACATGTCTCGTGTCTCTATAGCACTACAAGTCCCAGCAACATGTCTCCTGTCTCTATAGCACTACAAGTCCCAGCAACATGTCTCCTGCCTCCATAGTACTACTACTACAAGTCCCAGCAGCATCCCTCCTGTCTCTGTATAATGTAGGGCATGCTTGTAGCTATAATAGCAGTGTATATAACAAAGATATTTTCCTTTATGGTGAACCCATTGTTTGTTTCTTGGCCTCAAAAGCAACAAAGGCTGCAGAAAACAAAAACAAATGCGTCACCGGCGTGCCATTTATCTTCAGCTACCTAGAATGTTTGTTTGCCATTGTGAACTGTATGTAATGTGGATTTTAGATTGACTGGGCCTTTAATAAGTTGCAGCAGATAAAAGCACAACCTAGCTATTACTTACAGGCAGAGCCAAGACCCAACGGGATGTGGAGAGTAATTGGACAGATTTCTGAATACCAAACACCCCCATGGGAGAAATGCTGCAACGCTTACCATCACGCACACATCTGTCAGTTTAACCATTTCCACGGTAACTGCTTTCTTGCTTCCATGTTACTAACAACCTGGATGGTTAAAGGGGAACTCCAGCCAGGACTTCTTTCTAGTCTTGGATAGACCAAGGAAGGGTTACTGCCTCTGTGGGGTGTTTAATGATGTGTCCCTTTTGGGAAGATTTCCCTGAATTTCCTGCTTCAGGGATAGAAGGGAGAATAAATCTTCCCAAATGGAGGGTATATATACCTTTAACAGATAAGTGCCCCATGGCAATTGGCTATGTAAACTTTTGGATTTCTCCTCCTATGTGTCACCAGGACAGGAAGTGACAATGAATCTCCCCGGCAGCGTCCAGACAGCAATAGAATCTGTTTAGAATCCTTCTCAGTTCCAATTTAAAGCAACCTCTTGCTATCCTAAATGACCTTAGGCCCCTTACGGGTGGTCTGATCAGGCCGGCCTGTCAGTTTTTCAGGCAGGCCCGATTGGATGCTCAATGTAAGTCTATGGGCAAAGGATGAGCATTCGTTTATACCCGATTAC